AAAGAGGGAGCCTGCCTTCCTCCCGGGCAATCAGCACTGCTAGAGCCATCACGGGCAGAGTGCAAGTGAATCTGACACTGTCCTAACCATTCCCATTCTCAAAACATTCATGAGATTGTGGCCATATCACAGCTGGCAATGTCGGGAATAGGCAATAAGCTAAAACATTTCCCATGTAGATGACAGATGGGATTGGGTGATAGGGACTGATGAATATCACTAAGACCTCCCCATGAATATCCATACATCTTATTGATGCTACAGCTAAAGCTGATACACCTTCTACAGGGGAAAGGCTGTTTCTGATAACGTTAGGGGAGCAATATGGAAGGAACAAGATATTTTCTCACTAAACAAAAACCAAAAAAGAATGAATACATTTTCTAAGCTTCAAAAATAGTGAGAGTTGGTTAGTCTCTTAACAAAGTTCAGGATGATAGAAAATGCTCAAATGCCTGTGGGTAGCCACCAAGACAGAGAAGAGAGGGTTTTGATGGTTGGCATATCCATTTGATCAACAAGGAGAGAGGCTTTGCCAAGTCCTGCATCCTCAGCCTGTATGGACTAACACCAGTCGATGGGAGGAAGAGAATAATTAACAGCAACTGCCTTGTGCAACATCAAGGTGCCAGTGCATGTTGACATGGTATGAAAGTACATTTATATCAGGCTTGGACTCTGACTGCCACACCAGTGCTCACAGAGCTTACCCCATGGAGGCCGTGCCTTTGGACCCTCTGTTTTGATATTTCTGCACCATCAAACTGATTCACAGCTGAGGGTGACAAAGCATCACAGTTTTCCTTCTATCTTGTTGGGTTTTGCCCCCCTTTGTCTTCTGTCTGACCGTCTGGGATGTAATCTCTCTCCAGGAACTGTCACACTGCACAGGGACTTCTGCAACCTGCTGAGGCCTTGGGATCAAACTGGCAAAGTTAGGCATTAAGTTGATCGCTCCTCTATTTTCACTGGAAGCCAAAGTTCAACACTTCACCCCAATGCAAGGTGGAAAACCGCTGCAGACTCAGTCAAATAAAATTCACATCCATGAGCTGAATATCACCTGAGGTTTCTCAGGCCTGGTGGTGAGTGGTTTGCTTGGCTTTTGCATGAAAGGATGAAAGGCATGAACTCTGCTCCTCCAGAGATAGAAAAGATGATTTTTTCATAGGCCTGGAAGCAATTTTTGTTTTACCTTCACATTGAATCCAGCTGAGTTCTGCAGAAGCAATTCCTGCTTGCCTCCCATCCTAAGGCTGGAGCTCAGAGCTGATGGTGCTTTAGCTGCAGCTTGCAGCTTTGCCTTCAGCAAATACAGTTCAAGTTCAAAATGTATTTGCTCCTCTGTAGTCTGCTGGAATGGCAGTACTCCAACCCAGAAAGTTGCCTGCAGCTTTAGAGAAAGTACAATGCTGAATGAAATGAGTTTTAAATGGGAGAAAGGTGGTGTTGGAGGAGTATCTCCCATTGTACCCCCACTATGAGACTGGCATCACCATGATTTGGTAATTAAGAGCATCTGGACATGCCATGCTGAGGTTATATAGACCCAGATCTGAAATTGAAGAAATTCTGTACATGCATATATTTTCTTCCAGCAGCTGAATGTTGTTTCCAGGACAAATACTATGAAGTTTCCAAGCAAATAGTATGAAGTTTGGAGGCAAGTCTGACATGGAAGTGGGTACATCTCTTACTTTCATAGTCCAGATGTCTTGTCAATTAATATTGCTGCAATTAAATTCACAGCAGATGGACCTTGGGTCTTAGGAAATGCAACAGTTCTTGAAGTTTTGGCACTTCAGTTTTATCTGAGCAAATGGAGGCTCAAACCACGTGAATCATCTCTGGGTTTTTAAAAAGTAGCTTTATTTTGAAAAATGAAAGGTAAATGACTTCAGATGGCAAACTGCATTAGGAGAGCTAAATAAGAAAATATATTGTTACAGTAACAGTAATATTAGCTGCCACAAACAAAAATCAGTCAATAAAGCACTTTGAAAAGTTGAAAAGCCAAATGAATTCAAAAGCCTCTTACCAAATTCAATATTTTGTTGTATAATATATTAGCACTCGGACTGAAATCACCAACTGAGTATTTTTTCTGTTTTATCAGCAATCTCTCTCTTCCCCCAGTAAATTTGTTCATTTTCCAAAACTGCAGTGTTTTGCCAGCACTTTCCAACATATGTATGTAAGATAATGCACTTTTCATCCACCCTAAGCCTCTCATTCCACAGACTATTGATTAAGCCATGCTGCTGTAATCACAAACAGTCATATTCTCTTTCTGTAGTTAAAGTGACCAAAACTTCTCTTGCGTGATGAAATCTACCTCATAAGAGAGTGTTGGGGACTCTGTTTGCACATGGCCAAGCATGGATCCTGTGTTGAGAGTCACTAGCCCACCATCCTGCCCATTTACAATAAAGACTGTGCTCTGACACAGGAAATGCCAATCTTTATCTGTAGACCCAAGAAGTTCATCACTAAGAACAATGAGGCAAAGCAGAACCAGCACATCCCCACTGGCTTTTCACCAGCACATCTATCCCAACTCTTGTCTCTCCAAGCAGCTGAAGAAGTGAACAAAAGTGTCTTGGCTGAAGGTCAGCAATTTGGGTAATGAAAACCACCCCAGGAACTGGAATGCTTCCATTTGGGTTGGGTTCTGTGTTTCTCTTATAAATAGAGAAATCCCCCTCTCCCTGCAATCCATCAGCATGGTGTGGAGTTAATGCTGTCTACATGAAGATGAAGAATTTATCCTATAGGAATGTGGAGGGATGTGTGGGAGCCCTTATGCTGCCAGTGAACCTGCCAGCCAGCTCATCTGCTTTCTTGAAGGCTCATGTTTCATTACCCTTAACTCCTGGTCAGGAGATTCTGAGGTCTGTATTTTCGTGCACTTTTGGATGTACTTGGATCAACAAAGCTTAACCTACACTTTCTGTCTGCAAGAAACTGTTGAGTTTTGAGCTAAGTTTGACCTAAACAATTGGGAAATTTTGACCCTGCCTTCTAGGTAAGAAGCCAGGTCAGTTATCCAGGCTTCCTCCACCTCCATGGAGTGTTCCTGTGACTCTGTCTCAGCAGGTAAATTCAAAAAGGGATGCCCAAATCTTAGTAACAGATATTCTGGCATCTTCCCTTTTGTGATCCCAAACCCCTGCCTGTGTCACCCAGCCAACCTCTGCTCTTATATACAGATTTCTGTGCTAAGCCTGTGGTTTACAAACTGTGATAGCCACCTAAAATTATCACAAATGAGCAGCAAGAAGAGCAGAACAGCTGCAAGCTGGCAACCATGGCTGGAGATTTTCTCCTCCAGGGGCAAACATGTAGCATAAATGTTTAAGAAATACTTGCAAATGTCACGGGATCAGTAGAGAAAGCTGGGAAGAGACCGTGGCACTTTGGACGTACTAAATGCCTTGGTTCTCAAGCCCTTCACAGCCAAGGAGACCTCACAGAATCACACAGAAACACAGAATTTGCTGAGTTGGAAGGGACCCCCAAGTGATGATCACTGAGTCCCTGTTAATGTCCCTGTATTTATGGCTATGTCTCCACTCCTGTACCCAGTGCCACATCAACCCACTTCTGTAGCAACCCAGCAAAGAAGAACAGTTTGCAGTTTACTTCCAGCTACCAGACAGTACCAAATTTGATGGTTTTTAGTTTGTTTATTTTCCCTGACAAGGACATCTGTTTACTAGAACTCACATCTCCAGCATTAGTGAACATCAAAAGGGACGTCTGTGCGACTGCAGCTGGATTTGGATGGTACAAAGCCCTTCAAGTGACTGCTTAAATCTCTTTTTCTTTTCTGCATCCCCAATCTCCAAATAGAAATGGGCTAATTTTAAATGCATCTCCTGCTTTTTCTATTTTATGTAATGTGTCTGTCCTAACTTGTGCTTCAGGATCACCTTTGGGGTAAAGTGTAGCATTTATTGATTTAAAAAACAACACAGAATGAGAAAATAACAGCTATCCTAAAACACATGCACGTACCTTTTTCTCCAATAAAAGTGAGTAACTGGGGAGGTGAGGAGAAGTGAGCAAACTGAGGAGGATCCTTCTTTGCTATTCTCTCTCCTGATATCAACCAGCATATGCTTAATCTCAGGGAGATCTGATTGAGGAGTGGTGTGAATTCCTGTTGTATGCCTATATGACTGTTTATTTAGTTGTGAATTGATTGATTAGGAAATAAGTGCTTTTCAAGTTGACAGTATAAATAATGAAATTTTATTAGTGATATATGTGACACATTTAACAATGCTAATTTTCTCTACTGCTCTGTATAATTCACTTGCCTTTTTCAGTAGGCTGTAAACAATAGAAGGTTTGAGGGAAATCACTAATTTGTTGGCTTTCTAAAAGGCAATGGAAAGGAATCCAGAATTCAGGAATACTTCTAGAGTGCCATCTAGTGTGAAAAGAAATAAAACCACAAGAAAATGGAACTCAAAACACAGCTTTGGAAGGCATGTCCTAATACACAGAACCAGCTCTTTACTTTCCTCTACTGATAAACACAGGCAGCCACTAATGGATTTTATGTAATTTAATAATAACTGGGAAACTTTATTTGTTCAGTTTTTATTAAGTATACATATGTGTGTATTTATACATACAATAAACATATTATATGGTAGAAATTATTAAAATTAATGCCATCTCTGCTTTTAGTTTTTTTAACAAATGTCTGGCCTAAGCCCAGACTTAAGATTTGGTTTAATCACCTCATGTTCTCATACTTCAAAGGCTTTGTCATTAAATCTTGATTTCATTTTCACTCTTTTAATTAAGTTACAGACCTTTGCATATGAAATGGTGATATATAGAAATTGAAGATCACTGTTATGAAACAAGCTTTAAAACAGGAGAGGTTTTTTTTACAAAAAAGTGTTATTGCCTCATTGCTTCCAGGTGTGGTTTTAGCAGAGGTGGTGCTTGATCCTCCTTAGCAAAAGCACACTTCCTGTGGTCCTGTGGTTAAAGCAGACTTATTGCTACCTTTACAGCAGGTTTCTATAACCATTTATTTCAAATTACATAGGTGATTTGCAGGGTGTCTGTCTTTGCAGATGCCAATTTTGCAAGTGTGGCCCCAAGATTTAATGAGAAAAATACCAGGTACTCACCAAGTTTTTCTTGTTTGCAGGGCTTGTTATGGGCAGTGTGGCAGAGCCAGAGGGCAGACCAGTCTGTGCAGGTGAGTACTTTTGCATTTTTCTACCTGTCCACTGGGGATAGATTGAATGTAGCATTTTGCAACCCGTTTTGCCTTTCTGAGGAGGGATCCCAACTGACCAGGTGCTCTCTTACAGCTGCCTCCTGGAAGGGGACTTTGGCAATTTTAAAATAGAAAATAATGCTCCTATGGTTTTCTTTATGTGCAATACCCATCCAAGAATGCTGGTACTGTGTTGACAGTGTCACCCTTGGTTCATAAGTTTGGTGAAGACAGCAATATCAGCTCTGAGAAGTGTGAAGGCATCTCTTTGGTAGATGTGTCTGTCTTTTCAATCAAGAGCAAGAAAATTAAGTCTCACTTTCTTTATACCTGTGTCTTAATTAATGCTCTTTAAATTTATCTTCAACATATGACCTATTGCAGGGAACTATTTATGTCAGAGAAGAGCCTTGCTTATATTCACAATGACTGGCTTTGGGATTTAGAAATGCTTTCCGCAGGCATGTCATCTGTCTGGGCTGTGGGTCTTTGAAAGGCAGAGATTTTATCTATGGTGAAAGAAATATTTGGATTATGGAGGCTGAATACAGTGTATTGTTATGTCTATTTGGTATACAACACTGGTAAGTTTATTGATCTCAAGATGAGATAAAAGAGGGGAAGGACAAGAAAACTGATGAGAAAAGAAATGTGGAATTGAGGAAGGAAGATTTTTTTATTCCTTCTGAATATTGCATAAGCTGCAAAGGAGGAGACTTAGAACAGTATCAGTGAAGCAATTAGCAGGGAAAAGGAGTGGGGAGGATGTGGTGTGCAAAGTGCTGCTTCCTGCTGAGTTTAACCTAAGCTCTGCTTTTGCCTTTCTTCAGGGAAAAAAGAAAAATTATGTAGAGATCACCCTTGCAGCCCGTGTGTTTGAAAAGCCATAAGGAGAAGAATTTGTCAGAGACAAACTTTCATGGCAGCGTGGAGAGTCCCCTTTCCAGATATGCTGCTAAGCTCCTGACAGCAATAGTGGGAAAGAAACAGGGGTGGGAAGGGAAGGGAGGAGGTACTTTGGCAGTAGGGAAGGTGTGTTTTCTAATGAGGTCAAAAAATAGATTGAGTGTTTGCTTTAGAGTACTTTATTAGCTTTACAGGTTGGTATCCCCTACATCTAAGGACTCTCAAATTCTTCTGGAAGAACACAGTATTTCTCCCTTTGGAGGGGCCATGTAGGAGACCTCTGGTGGCATTCTTTTCTGCTCTAGTATAATTACTCTCTATTTTTATGGTGCTGTGTAGAGGGATTTGAGATGTGTGCGTGACTGAAATGTGGAACCAAAGAAAGGGGTTGGAATGGCAGCTGTGAACGGTGCAGACCTGTGTCCGTGAGATACAGCAAAGGGCAAGTAAGAGGCAATAAGAATCACACTCTCCTGGGAGCCCCAGGTTGGATCCTTCTCCTGTGATGGATGTGCCTGCAAGCAGGCAACTGCAGATGGGCACCATAAATAACTCCCATGTCACAGGAACAGCTCCTGGAGGCAGCGATAGCGGCAAAGTTGCGCTTTTCCTGCATTTCTATTTCACTCCTGCTTTCCCCACTGAGGTTGATTCATTCTGCTGCAGTTTCAAACAGATGCATTAGATCCTTTTAGGTTGAGTTTTGAAATCTTGTTAGAGAAATGTTTCCAGTTTTCACCCTTATTGCCAAATCACTCCTACTTGGATCTTGGTGTGTTCCTGAAGGAGTTGTGAAGGCTGACAGTCGGCGGTCTTGTAGAATTAGGAACTAAAACTTTGTGCCCCTGAAGAAAAAAGAGAAATCTGTAGTTTTAGCTTAGGGATAAACTCAAAATCTTGAAGTTCCTCTGCTGTTTGACTCAAAGTATTTGATGTTTTTTCCTATGGAAAGAAAATATCCTAATTCATGTTTGGGGATGTCTCCAGCTGATTAGTTGTGGGTATTTTTACTCCCTCTGAGCCTAGTTGTATTTCACTCATGGGAACCTTTATGCAAGCAGAAGAGCATGCATGCTCATGAATTATTTTTGTTTAGCTAGTATCTCTAAAATATTTCTGCAACTGTTTGAAATATGTGACTTGCACCAAATACATGTGTGAATACAGCATGGAAAAAGATATTTTTATGCCACTTTTGTGCCACAATCTTAAACCAACTGAGGAGGACAGAAGGCACTTTTTACTGCATCAGGTATCATTCTGTCTGCATTCAACTTATTGGTCACTGTCAGTGCAATGAGTGTTGAGACTAGAAGTTTGCTTGCAATTCTCAACAGGTTGCTTGTTGTATTTTCTAACATTCTATTCTCACCAGCCTTTAACAGTTTTTTGTTTTTTGTACTGAGATGGTCAACATTGCATTTAGGAGTCAGCTCCTGATGGCAATTCTTTGTAGCTGTCACTAAACAGTGATGAGTTCAGGCCAAAATACCGTGACGTTAATGAAAGTCTTTGCATTGATTTTCATACTCTCCAGTGTTTGTGCTACATATTAATTTCAATGGATGTTGGATCAATCCCCTCAGAATGCTCTGGAAGATTAGCCAGAAGGGGAAGTTAGGTACCATGGAAACAAAAGGCTCGAGTGTAATCCATAGATGAGGATCTTGCTGTCACAGATGAATTTGCTTAGTTGGCTTTCATATAAACACAAATATAAGAAAAAGCATGTCAGCCTAGGTGTTAGTGTAAGGACTGTATCTTTTTAATTAGTCTGGTAAATATTTCATTAGCAACTGTAATAAAATATTGATTTCAGTGTCTCCATTAATCCATATTACTTTGGTTCTGTAATTTTTTCACTTTTAATAATTTAGCAAAATCTTTTTACTGGACACTTTTTCATCTAACTACCGCAGGATGGGAAACAAAATTACTGTGCAAATATAATTATTTTTTCCCCTGTGCCATCTCTCCTAATTCAGTTGATTACACATCATGTCATAGCATCTGGTTTTATTTTATAACTTATATGGTAATATAAGCTAAACAGTTAATATTTTCTTGAAGAAACATTACCCTCACACTCCTAAGACTCTAAAATGACTGTTCATAACATCAGCACAGGGCAATATATCTGAATGGACAGTATAAAAAAAGAATCCAAATCCCTTTCCATGGGCAAGAACAAAGCATTCTTATTTCAGAGAGCTTGGCCTATTATGGAGAAACTAGAAGCTTGAAAAAAAGCCGAAGTAATAGCTAGATACAAAGGAGGAAACAGAAGCAGTAAAATATCAAGTCTTGCTGCTTTGCCTGTTTACCTTGCACACATGCAGAGGCATGAAGGTTAATAGTCAGGTCAACTAATTATGTTTATACAAATCCTTCCAATAATAGATGATTATAGTTTTCTTTAGAGCAATTGAAGTCAAAACAGTGCTTTGACTAAATATGCTGACCACTTACCACTATTTGTAATTGTAAAGTATGTGTTTAATCTCCTAATATTTTCAGTAGCACATTAGCACGGAATCTCCTCATGGCTTCCTATTTCTTTTCTTCTAGGAATTCAAAATACAGGATGGCTCTACCAGAGCCTCAGTGCCAACTGTGTCTTTGCTAGTTAACACAGAATGGTTAAATACTAAGTAAATGCCTGGAAAAGATATATTCAGCTTGGTCTTCTAAAATCTGATGTAAATGGCAAGTGGTACTTCCTTTGCATTTAATTTCTGTGGAAGTATTGAGCTTGTTCTTTAATTCCTCCTAGTGCTGAAGAAATCTACTGGGGTTGGAGCTATTTACAGTGGCAGCATAATAAATAAGGAAACAAAGACATTAACTGCATCAAAGTTTTACTGGCAGACTTCTGGCATAGTGTTTATGGTATGCTCTTGGTCATCAAACCAGTGAAAGCAGTGGTTAATGCCCAATGTAGCAGCTAATTTCTGTCACATGGATATTTGTCTGGGAAATTAGCCTGGGTCTGAGCCAGATGGAATTGCACAGTTTCACTAACTTTGCAGCTCTATTAGTTTGAAGTCAGGAGAGCAGACATGGCCTTGACAAGCATATGATTCTGTGCTGCATTGCCTGTCCTGGGAAGCTGTTCAGCTTTTCTATATTTAACAGATGAAAATGTCTCCAGAGTTCATCAAACACATACTCAAGATATCACAAGCTGCAGCTGGCAGCTGGGAGCTCTGCAGTTCAAGGTTAATGGGACACTAATTAGTAAGTATATAGGGATATCAGCACGTAACACCCACTTTTTGAGCAAGTAGGAAAATGAATTAATAGTCAAGAGAAGGAGGGCCCTTCTCCAGCTGCCTCCAGCTCCCTGCAGCTCTCATTCCACATTCCCACAGGCTTCCAGGGCAAGTGCTACAGCGAGCTGCTGCAGGCACAGCTGGGAGCACCAGGGAGCCTTGCAGGGCTGGCTGGCTTGGGGAGCAAGCCAGGGTATCCCTGGAGAGGGTCAGAGTCAGCCTCTGCACTCTCAAACCTCTGCTTTGCCCCCTCGAACCACTGCAGACCCTGTGAAAGCCTGGTAATGTGGCAAAAAGACCGCACAGCCCTGGGGTATGGGAACCATCCCTAATGCCGGAGAAAACCAGCAGAGAGCAACACCAGCTGACAAGCAGCCTCTCTTCTGGTGTCAGCAGAAATTGACTGTAGGGGAGAAGATAGGATTGAAAATTGCTGGAACACTGAGTTGAATAATAACCAGGGAATGATCCTTCTTAAAGTGGAAAAGAGCAAGATTAATGTGCGTTTTACCAAGAGATAACACTTTCACAATTACTATTAAGTATCTAGAAGTCCCTAATTCAAAATATGGATAATTTACTGTAAATCTTGCCACTGACTGCCATATTTTCAGGCTATAAATTTAATAGCTGCAGGAAAAATTTGGTTCAATGTATGTAGCATCACACCCTTCTTCTTTATAACTGCCATTCTTTCAGGACTCAAAAGCGTATTTCATTGGTTAGAAATCCCATCTGTATAATTTTGAATTATCCAAGATAAGCCTGGGGGATAAAATTAAAAGCCAAGTTTGATGAGGTTGGTTCTTAACTTCCTTGTCATTTGGCTATCTGGGACATTGATTCTTTAGCTGGCTTTATGTCTGACAGCCCATATTCCTGGTAAATTCAAAATTAGTGACTTTGTGTTCACAGAGATCTCAAACTAATTTTTGTCAGAGACTTTTGAAAATGTAGGTTACACAAACTCATCTGTGGTTCAATAGCTTTGCTGTCTCCTCCTATAACTCAGCTTTTTATTTTTACCCAGATCATTCTCCATTGCATTCCTCCTATTACAATATATTCTCCTTAGTTTGCAGGCAGGCATTGGCAATGAATGGGAGGGAAGGTGAAAGCTTCATGCATTACAGAAGTAGCATAAGAAGGAATAAGTTGCTCAGATGTCAAAGCAGTATTAAGTCTAACCAAAAGGATAGTACAATTACCTGGGAACATTCAGGGAAATGCATTGAAAATGACAGGCTGAAGTTCTGTGGATATGAAGAAAAGTGAAGCTGTCTTGCAGTGGGGAAAAAGACAGTAATGAGTGAAGAGTGCAGCTGTAATATTGCTTTAGGAATTATTTCATGTTGTACTGTTAATTAAGGAGACAGCTCTACACTTGTAGGCTTCTTTCTTAAGTCAGGAGCAGAATTTCTACTTCTCACAGGATTGTTCTGGAGATGAGACCAAAAAGTCTTAATGGCATCAGCTGAGATTCCTACATGTAATGTTGAATCTTTAGGCCTTGCAGAAAAGAGCGCCCTGAAGAGAATTACACCAAGTCCTACTCACAAAAAGGTATCTCTGGAAAGGTCTGCACTGATTTTGTCATGGTGCTGCAGAACACACACACACCTGAGCTGTGGAGCAGCTGACAGAGGCACACCACTCCTGTGGGGTCAACGTGGCTTTGAGTTTGAGGGGAAGATCACTTTTAGTCCAATTGCTGCAGTTCCAGTTTTGTCCTACTGAGATTTAATTAACCCAAAGAAATGCAAGCAGTGAGACTGTAAGCCTGAGATGGTTGCTTGATAAACCTTTGGGGTGCTGGGGTTTGATAACTGGAGTGACCCAGTGACATGACAGCAATTTTCTTTGTTAGAAAAACACAGCCATGGTATTCTCAACTTATAACACTGGGTTGCTCCCCAGAATGTCTCTCTAGTTAATAGTAAAGTACAAAAGTGATGTTAACTGAGATAATAAGATAGCAAATACTGATGGAAATTTGATTGCAAATGAGCGATTTACGTAGCAAATAAGAATTAGATCCCCTAATGTGTTAACCAAATAAGAATCAGGAAACACTTGGGAAATTAATGTGTAAAGTAGACAAAATAAAGCATTCAAGGCATGCTGGTCCCTGGGTGTTTTGGGGTTTTTTTTCCTTTCCCAATTTTCAAGCCATAGGATAAAGGTTACAAGTAAGGGAAGAGATAGCCCACTTCTTTTGCATGAACTTTGTTCACAGAAACTTTAATTTCAAAAATAATTGGGGCCTGAATTTCCAGAGTAGTTCTTGTAACCATCTCAGACAGATGCATGCATCCAGGCATTAGCAAACATCAGCCCCACAGCTGAAGCTGTTTCTGTGATGTTTCCAGCTGTGTTGCCCAATCTAGTTTAGAGTACACTGAACACCTGAGACACTCTGCACAAACAGTGTGTTCTTAGTTAGAGATTTCATTACCTGAATGTTTTCTTTGATAACCATCTTTTCCACCAACTTTGTCCTCTTTGTGCTGTGGCTATTTTGAACCTTCTGAAGTGTCTTTTCTCACGTTGCTATTTGTGTCTTCAAACAGCAGAATTGTGTCATCTTAGTAGCTAAGCAAAACCGGCATCCTACTGCTGTAAGCACTGAATAGATGCTCAGAATGAGACCCTGACCTCCCTAAACAGGCTGCAGTTTGAAGGGACCAGGCAGGAGGAAAATTCTGCCTTTGTTGAGCTGAATACAGGATAAATTACATGGATACATAGACTAAGTGCCCTACTGCACATGGGAACCTCTGTCTAGATGAACACTGCATGTAAACCTCCTGAGTCCCTGTCCAACAATTTATTTACTTTTCCATTGTGCATAATGCCCTTTGTCAGGGGTCTTTGTTCCTGGACAAAATCTGGGATGACTTTACTTGATGGAGAAAGCAAATCATAATGTTTATAGCTTTCCATTCTTTATTCTTTTCCCTTTTACTTAATAGTATATAAAAATTGTTTTAGAGCCTCTTAATGAATCCAATATTTTATATAGTGCTGTAATTACTTTGATGCAAGTGTCTAAAACCACAGCCAATCAGTCTTTTACACCATTTAAATGCAAGTGAAGCACTTATTTCCCTTGTAAATCTTCTGCTTTTCTAACAGAAACTGATTTTAAAATAGGGAAGGAAAGGGAAAAAATAAGGTCATTGATAGTCTTACAAGCTGTCTGCAAAGCATTATTATAAAAATAATTGCATTTTCAGCTAATCAAAGATGTTTTTAGGAGTACTTGTTCTGCAGGAATTATACATTCAGAACTTAGATGGAGCTTTCAAAAGCTGCATGCCTGAATCTTCCAAAGAGGCCAGGATATGCTATTCAGAACAATAGACTCTTCTTTTCCAAGCATGCTTATACTGAGGGTTGTTTTGTGAGGTAACCCAGTTCCTTCCACACCTCTCAGTGCTGGGGCTCAGAGCAGTGATGGAGTCATGCAATTTAATTAATTGCATAAAATTAATTGAATCCCATGTGATATCAGGCAGATGTTGATCAGCAGATAGACAACCCAGATTTCATATTCAGTAACTCTTTCGTTGTTTTGGGTTTTTTTTTGGTTTTTTTCCAAATGTTTCTGTGTTTAGCTCTGTCAACACTTGCACACCAATATTAGGGCAGTCCAGCACTATAGAGAAACTCTGTTTCCTGAGTTCACCTAGCCTTCAGAATAATGCTGTCACAGGATTTTGCATGGCAGTAGCTCTGCATTACTTGTGCATTAATATTAATCAGAGATAAAACAGTAATATATGCTGATCAGAAGTTCATTTCCCTGTTGTTTGCTCTCTGACAGTCTAACAGCAATGATAATCTGAGCTTAACAGGCATTACAATGGAAATCCTCCAAATGAAACACAGAGATTAGTGACTTCTCAACAGTACAGCCATTTCCTGTGCTTGTTAATGTGACACTTCCTATAGAAAGGGGAGTATAAATTGAAGTTCAGTGCTGCCACTTGTTTCCCTCAAGAGTAGGCTTTGCTGATAGTCCACTCAGTCCAAAATTTTAAGCTGTAAATCTGTTTGGATAATAAGATTTAATTTTATCTTTCTCATCATAAATATCAACTTCAAATTAACTTTAAACAGGCTCTCAAGATTTGAGTTTTGCTTGTCCAAAGGGCCACGGCAGTAGTGTCCTTTGCCAGGCTACTTGAGATTTCTTGCTATGCTGAGCAACTCCCAGTGTTTCAAAGAGCCAGGAATATCTAATAACTGAATTGGAAAATCCCTTTCATGTGATGTTAGAGTATGAAGCAGATTATTTTTCAGAGACAAGGTAGTTTAGCAGAATTTAGGCTGCTCTCTGAGCTTTTACCTCCTTCTAGTACAAGAGGATAACAGTCACATTCTTTCCTCTTTCATATGAGGCAAACTAGGAGAGCACTGAAAAATGGTGATCATTCCCTAGTGCTCTGCTCACAGCATGGTGAGAACTCTAGAAACTCTAGAAGCTGGTTTTAAACAAAAACCACTGAGCCCCTGGAGTAACTCCAGATGAAATTTATACCTTATGGAGCCACACTTTTCCACAACCAA